CCACCACCATCGTCGGCGACGGCTTCAAGTTCCTCGAGGACAAGAAGGGCGAGTTCGACGTCATCATCACCGACTCCAGCGACCCAGAGGGTCCCGCCGAGGCTCTCTTCCAGAAGTCCTACTTCGAGTTGCTGAACGGTGCGCTCCGCGAAGGCGGTGTCATTACCACCCAAGGTTGTAAGCCCTCTCCTAGTCCGCTCAGTTCACGTCCACTTTTCGACCGCCATGCGCCGGAAAGGTGCTGCTCTGGTCAATGGCTAACATTCTTGTATAGCCGAGAACCAATGGCTTCACATGCCCCTCATTGTCAACCTCAAGAAGGCTTGCAAGGAGGTCTTCCCCAACGTCGAGTACGGTTACACCACCATCCCCACCTACCCCTCCGGCCAGATCGGTTTCATGGTCTGCAGCAAGGACGCCAACCGCGACCTCAAGAAGCCCCTTCGCAGCTGGTCTACCGAAGAGGAGGAGCAGCTTTGCAGGTACTACAGCAAGGAGATCCACGAGGCGGCTTTCGTTCTGCCCACCTTTGCTCGCAAGGCTCTCCAATAAGCGTCTGGCTTGTCGAATTTCTTTTCGTTACGACCTCACTAGATACCACGATATGTGATGAATATCAAAAGACTGTAAAGTCATACCCAACGAAACATCGATACTTTCGACTGCATACGCTCAGGCATGATTGTTCTGCTAACTACTAACGTTCTACACCAAGCCGGCGACATGACAGCCACAAGCGCCTGGTTACTTCTTGCGCTTCGGACCGCACCCCACTTGCCAGCGCACAACAATGTGTCCAGCTTCCAGGACATCGGCAGTTGAGGCTCTCGGACGCTTAGTGAGAAATGGTGCCTGGGCAGGCTGTTATCATGCGCGAGTTTCAGCAGCCAGCTTGAGCCCTGAGGCAAACACACAGTCGCTGGCCTGTGAGTGGACGGGAATGACACGGAGACGGGCCCTGCAACCATGTCGGTAGCGGTTATGAGCCCACTTCGCTCTATGTTCCACGCGACATGTGCCTTACACGCTTGCCACATCTCCAGTCCATGTCTTAGCCATGCGTGGCGTATGAGGTCTGTGGGCCGTCGGTACTAACGGCAGCAATGTCATGCAGTCCGCATTCGCCCGGTAGACGTGTCAAAGAGGTCTACATTTAGCGAGGAGTGAGCTGTCTCGTCTAAAACTCTCCTGTACCAGATGAAGATTCGAAGCAACCGATTACTGTTGGCTGCGGACTAGGCCACGTTGGGTCGTTTCGTCCTCCAGATGATTTCGCTAGTACAGCCGACAGATGGCATAACTTTTGTGGTGATGCGATTCGTACTGAATCACGATTACAATTCCCCTTGACCGTAGTACCCGCTGTGGCTTTGTAAACGAAGTGTGGATCAAACACGGAGGGTGTCGGTATGATCCGATAGCTGAGACCCGTCGGTGAGCGAGCGCTTCTCGACCATGAACCTCAGGGTCATCGAAGGATTCTGTCAATCCAGCGGTGTGGCCATGCTGTGGAGCGTGCCTGCGAAGACAGGATGACAGGAACTTCTGGGCCGTTGTGATCTGTGTCAAGATCGCGGTTTGGGGTGAAGCGTCGTTCTATGTTTGGCAGATGCTCCGGCGTGGACCCACGAGTTTGTGACACGCGAAGTGTCACAACGTTGCCGGCGGGCTAGCCGCTACAGATGGCGGAATCTTTGGTTTGAGGCTGGCGCATGGGATCGTGATGTGGCACTGCTCCATAATGGCGGTGGCAGAGATGTCATTGAGACGGAGAGTGAATATAGTAGGTCTCGCATCGTGCCTAATACCTGCCTCAAGCTGCACCACCTTCTTTCCCCACCTGCGCCTTCGCTCTTTCGGCCACGACACCGTCGTGCACACTTCACGTCTTCTTCTTCTTTTTTGTACAAGGTCGAGCCGGGCTCTTCCTTCAATATAATCTTTACTTCCACGACGGGTTACACGATCACCGTTAGCAACCATCACACAACGTTACGACTCGCGCCCATGCAGTAGTACAATCCCTCGCTTCCTTCCTCTCCTTTTCATTTTGCCTGGAGCATTTATTACCTTTGACCGAACTGTCTGGATACGTTCATCTTTCGCTGTACATACTTTGCGAACATACTTGCCGCCGCAACGGAATAACGACGCCGATTAATATCGCACTCGCCAACCTGCACACCAAGCGCGCTTAACGAAGCTCGATCACTAAGACAGAATCAAGCGACGATGTTATCGGCAACATACCAGAATGGGGAGCCGTTTAGTCCGGCCAAGGTTCATCCGCTCCTGTCCCCACAGGCGCCCAACTCAAGTTTCTCCGACCTTAACCCCGTCGATGCCGATGCCTCATTTAATAATCCCACCCGCCCAGAGTCTCCACAGCCTCCGCAGACCAGCGTCCACTGCCCCCAGGACGCGCCGTATAATGCATCGGTAGTAACGCAAGAAATTGGCGGTACGCCCGCTGCAACACAAGATCCAGCCAGTCTGACCTCGGACGAATCCTCCCGCAACGACGACCCCACCGTTATCACCAAGTCCTCGTCCATCGAGAACCTCTCCGTCCTCCCGCGCGTGCCCTCTTTTGGCGAGCATCGCATCCGGAAGCACCGCAAGAACGCCTGCTCAATCGACTCTGCGATCCCCCGCCAGACCATTCTTAAGGCGTTGCAGTCTCGGCCACCACCATCGTCGACGTCACAGTCCATGGACACCGCCATAATGGAGAGCGCAGGGAAGAGTGCGCGCTCAAAGAGCATCACGCACTCGCAACTCGCAAAGGCGCTCAACGAGCTGGAACTGCACTCGGCCGACCTTTCCGCCAGCAAGATGGCTGCGCTCGCATCACCATGCTTCTTCCACAAGAAGTTTGACAAGGCCGTGAACCTTGGAAAGGTCATGGAAGAGATGGGCGATGCCGAAGACGATACGATATCGCATTCGAGGCTCATGCAGACCGCGAACAGCGTCCGTGAGGTCTCGAAGCAGTTGCAGCGCCGACCCATCAAGATGACGGTGCGCAATGTCATGATTGTCACCAAGGCGCGCGATAACAACCTCGTATACCTCACGCGCGAACTGGCAGAATGGCTCATGACGACCTCGCGCTACGGCTCAGACGTGGGAGTGAATGTCTACGTAGACCACAAGCTGCGCAAGTCGAAGCGCTTCGATGCAGCCTCGCTGTTGGCCAAGGACAAACGCTATGAGAACATGCTCCGCTGGTGGACACCAGATCTATGCTGGGAAACCCCTGAGATCTTCGACCTCGTCCTCACCCTCGGTGGAGACGGCACCGTACTCTTCACCTCGTGGCTCTTCCAGCGCATCGTGCCACCGATCCTCTCCTTCTCGCTCGGCAGCCTCGGGTTCCTCACCAACTTCGAGTTCGCACAGTACAGGCCCGCGCTCGACAAGATCATGTGCGAAACGGGTATGCGCGTAAACCTGCGCATGCGCTTCACATGCACTGTGTACCGGTACCAGAAGAACGCCGCAGCCCAAGGCTCACCATCGCACATTGAAGCCGAGCAATTCGAGGTCCTCAACGAGCTCGTCATCGACCGCGGCCCATCGCCCTACGTCTCGAACCTCGAGCTCTACGGCGACAACAACCTGCTGACCGTAGTCCAAGCCGACGGCGTCATCTTCTCCACGCCCACGGGCTCAACCGCCTACTCCCTCTCCGCAGGCGGCTCGCTCGTGCACCCAGACATCCCCGCCATCCTCCTCACCCCCATCTGCCCGCACACCCTCTCCTTCCGCCCCATGCTCCTCAACGACAGCATGCTCCTCCGCATCGCCGTGCCCCTCAAGTCGCGCGCAACCGCCTACTGCGCCTTCGACGGCAAGGGCCGCGTCGAGCTCCGCCAGGGCGACCACGTCACCATCGCCGCGTCCCAATACCCTTTCCCCACCGTCCTCTCCCAGCCCACCGAGTGGTTCGATAGCATCAGCCGCACGCTCCGCTGGAACTCGCGCGGCGCGACACAGAAAGCGTGGGACGGTGATGAGGACGGCGAAGAGGCTGAGGAGGAAAAAGAACCGGATTTCGACATCGACTTTGATAATGACGACGTTGATCGCGATTCTGGATACAGTGCTGAGGGCAGCACGGTGGATGGCAGGGGCAGTCCAATGAGGAAGGGTGTGGTGCTGCCTTTCTTGTAGGCTTTGTCATCCCCTTGCCTGCCTGCGAAAGAGGTGGATGTGTATATGACGGATAGGGGAACGTTGTCTATTCTCCTCCCACTGGTCATCCACTCACGCATCGTCATTGCTGCTTGGGCGGGTCCCGGTGGTTTCCTTTTTGGGCTGTGTATATGATGGTCGTTTGAGTAGACGTCAGTCACATAAGCATGCATCTTTCGCACAGCATTTTTTCACGTCATTCGCTTGCGTTGGTTTGCTGGTGAGCGTATATTGCGAGAGCTATGATATCCTTAGAAAGCATGTAGATGAGTTCGGTGGGGGTAGTAGATACTAGATAGTGGTGATGGTGGTGGTGACGAATGGAGAAGTGGTTGGTTTGGCGAGTTTGCCTGCCTCCCTTTGGCTACAACTTGTTCTTGTTCCTTTACTGCGTGTCGCACTATGGCTTTTGAACATCTACCTGATTATCATGCTTGTCTCTGAGCGCATCATCTACAAGCGCGTCCGCCAACCCGGCACCCCAGCCAGTGTATGTAGATGGCATACACAGTCTATCTCCGCGAACATTTCTTTCCATACGCGATTACTACCATATCCTATGCAGAGGACTGAATTGGTAGCATCCAAGCCGGTTTCTTCCGATGCGTTAAGGTTGGCGGAGTATCTTTTCTGGAACCTTGGTACTACAACGGAAAACCGCAGAGAACCAGATGACCGTCACGACCGGATAAGTATTATCCTGCTGCCTACACAGCATACAGAAAAACTCTACAAACAGTTCACATACCCATAATCATCTCCTAAGGTCGTCTTAACTATCAAAACTACCTAGTCTCACCACAATGTCGTTTCTTCGACCCATGATGCGCACACGTATCTTGAACGCCTCACGCCCACTTTCGCGGCAAGTACGAGCGGTGCATTCTACAACGCCCGTCTCAAAACCCATTGCAGAAAGAATCACCCACAATCCCGCACTGCACTGCGCCACCTGCCCCTTTACAGCACACGAACGTGTCTACCTCAAAGCGCCTCTTACCGGAGGACCATTCCTGCCAGACGACAAATTAGTCAAAGCGATAGAAAAATACTACCTCACACGGGCAGCCACCGCGCCAACAGACTACTCCGGGGCCGACAGCGAGAAAAACTACAATGCTCGTACCCAAAGCCTCGAAGCTGCCCGCCGCGAAAGGGCGGATTTGATAAAGAAACTCCTCATCAAGCAACTTGCTGCAAAACATGAGGTATCTGAGCGCGAGGCGAAACAGGTTGTACGGAGTCTGGTGCATGATGTTGAAAGCGTCCGCGAGCAGACGCAGCGGCAGGGACGGCGGGAGAAGGGACGGCGGAAGAAAAAGCAGAGAGAACAGAGGGACTACCAGAGAGAGGATCGTAGGACATTTCGTCGTGTGTTACTTGGACATGGTATAGTTTTAATCGGGATATGCTACTTGTTTAAATCGCTATGAGCGAAGAGATGGAAGTAGGTGGTAATATGGACGTTGATTGAGACTAACAAGACATGGAAGTCGGTAAAGGTGGTGGTCGTGGTGGGATTGGTTGGTAGACTTGCATTAATACACTTCACTCAAATACACTTTGGTCCTGAGGATGCCTGCGCTTGGTGAGCGTTGCAACTGCCCTCTCGCAGTGACTATAACATCAATTTCTCTTTTCTACCCGTCTCCTATACCTAGATGTAGTCTATCACTTCTGTTCGTATGGATCCCAATGTCTCCCCTTCCCAGCCAGATCTTCAAGCTCGTCAAACGTGAAGGGCATGTCCACATAGTTGTAGAAGTCCAAAACGGCTGTGGTTGGGATAGTCAACCATTCAAAATTTCGCTGTGGACCATAGCGTGGATTAGTGGGCACAGCACGAACAGGGTCGTAGTCCGCGTCCAAAACTTTGACCAGGCTGAGATCAGGATCTTGTAGCACCTGAGCATCCGCCAACAGGAAGATGGCGTTCTGCCAGTTGTTACACTGTAGCCCTCTCATCGGCTGACCCCCACTTCCTTCCCGATAGACTTGACAGACGTCTTCCATCGATAAGTCGTTCAAGGTGGTGGGAAGTGAGCGTGCATCAAGTCGAAACTGATCCCTTGCTTTTGCGACAGCGTCAGGCATCTTATTTGCCCCCTCCATCTCGGGGAGACCTCGTTCCACACCATCGGTGATGTCCTTGAGCAGCCTCTTCCACTGCTCATTAGAGCCAGGGCCATAATATGTTCTGTAAATCGTATAGCCCCAACGTACCAGAAGCTGTACTCGATGCTCTTCCGCCTCGCAAAGGTGGTCGAGGAAATCTGAAATGTTTTCCATAGCGGTCGGGGGAACAGAGATAAGGAGTGGCTTGGGTGGATTTGTACGTATGAGTCAACGTTGGTAGATGTATTGCCTTTTGGAAAGGCCGCGCCAAGTAGTAAAAGAAAACAGTTCGTCCGGCACTTCAAGACGCTAGTATGTGGGGTATCCCTGCAGTTTCGCCACAGGACGGGCGAGGTAGGCGGCACGGTCGCTGCTGCATGCGCAATTGTAATGTGGGCAGAAATGGTACTCGTGCTACGGGATCGATGGAATTAAAGCGCAATACCATAGAAGCTTGTACGCCTCACGCCCTTGATCTTGAAGAACTTGACGAGGTCGTCATCCCGCTTTTGCTCGAGCTCTTGGACGTCTTTACCTTGAAGCTCGTCGGAAACGCTTGAACCTAAGGCATCAATGCTATCCTGTGACCAGTCGAACTTGTGTTCCTGCATATCCTCAACCCAGACTCGGCTTGCAGGTCCTAGATGCTCAAGAAGGTGCTTAAACCCTTCACTGCCACCGCCTCCTCCCATTGCATTTGCCAGGAATGGCCCAACCATGGCCCACCGAGGCCCCAGACTAGTAGTGACGCAAGCGTCTGGCCAGCTGTGGTCAGCAAACCAAGGAAGACATGGTGAAAACGAGAGACTCACCAAGGTCCTGGGCGGTGACTATACCACGAGCCACTAGGCTGTATGCTTCATTACAAAGGGCAGCTTGAAGACGGTTGGCGACAAAACCGGGTACTTCATCTTTGATGTGAACAGGACGTCGTCCCACGGACTCGTAAAAGGCCATCGCATTTGAGATAGCTGATGCACTTGTGCTTGAATGTGGGACGACTTCCACAAGTGGCATGAGATGAGGTGGGTTGAACGGGTGGCCAATGAGTACTCGTTCAGGGTGCTGACATTGGCTGATGAATTTCGAGCTTGGAATGCCTGAAGATGAAGAGGCGATGACAACATCTGGTCGAACAGCCGCGTCGATCTCGGCAAGAAGTTTGGTTTTAAGATCTGGCCTTTCGGGCGCATTCTGTACCATCCTATTAGCTGGTGAACTTGTAGAGCAGCTGATTATATGCACTCACCTCTTGCAAAAAGTCCACGTCTTTGTAGTGTCTGCCTAGAGTCGCGCCTACAAACTCGTAGTTCGAAAGAGAAGCGCTGGATGGAGAGTTCGAATCAGCTTGTGGCACACCGGATGAGTCTAGTGTTGCAATTACTTTTCATCAAGACCCATGGTCTCTAGCGCAGGCCAGATGCTCTCCAGATAGGACGCCAGTTTCTCCTCTGCGCCAGGTGCCGGGTCTGCAACAATCACACGCAGGCCATGAGCGAGAAAGAGACCGGTCCACGATGCTCCAATCACGCCAGTGCCAACAATACCGACAGTACGAATGGACATTTTCGAAAGATACCAGAGTTCCAAGACTGCGAAGGATGATTGCAAAGGTCTGTGAGGAAAGATTGGATGGTTACTTTATGGGGGCCGTCGTCCCTTTAATGCGATCGCAGGAACTGAATCGACTTTGGTACGCATCGGCCGGGCTGTTACTTGGAGGTGTACATTCAGATGTTGTGCCTACACGGTGAGGGCCGGGAAGCTGCGACCAGCGTTAGTACATGCGTTTCTTTTTCGCACGAAGTCAACAGCGTCGACATAGTATATCCGCTTAAAAGACATGCTGAGGAGTATTGCTTGCGAATGAGCTGCAACCAGTGTCGCATCGGATCTTCCCATGGCTCGCCCGAAAGGTCGGCCGAGTTTTGTTAGAGAGTCTACGACATTGCACGTTGCATCATGCAAGGTTTGATCTCTAGACATCATCATCACTTGATAGTAGAACAAATTGAACACCGTCCCAGCCAATCCATGGATGAGAGCCAATTGGCGGTGCCGAGGCAAGATGGGCCGTCAGCCAATGGGACGTTGAGCCGGGAGTGGGGCCCAACCGAGGCCATTGCTCTTCACGTGGTTCGATCGGCTCCCCCGGGCCTCACCCAACGTGCCGACATTCTGTTCTGCAGGCGCAGCCTAGACGCTGCACCTGGCATCAAGACTTCGTCGTTCGAAGATGCTACTACCGTCTACGGACGTAAGCCACAGCCGCCAATGGAACGGTACCCTTCCCAATACGACTGGCTGCGGATTTCCAGGTATCGTTACACACTGGTTCTTTCTCAAAAAAGCAGTTCGTCCAAACACTATAAATGTCATCAATATCTACAGAATTCCTCCCTGCACGTCCTTCTGCTTCTCAGAGAAGCATTCTCTTCGTTTCCTTCACCGCTTAGCTAGTATCAACGTTCTCCAAGCACGATTGTACCCTCGTCATGGCCGTGCATCAAACGACAAAGGACACCTTTGGCCCTGGAACATTCGTTGATCGCGACTTCATTGATGTGCCTGCCGATGCTAGTAGGCTACTGAAACACCTGGCTGGTATCACACCAGGCTTCACGACCGAGGAGGCTGCCCTGAATGATGTCGAATTCTCTGGGGGGGAACTACCCATCATCCCAGGACCCTTGAAATCGCAGGTCTTTGTGCGTACTCATTTCTCCCTAAGCTTCAAAAATCACAATGTGCTCACTCTCTTTGCGTAGTCCGCCGTTCTACATGCCATGATCGGAATTGTTGCCAAAGAGATCAGCGCACTTAAAGGCATTCAAACGGGTAAAATTCACATCGACACTGACAAGTGTGGTCTGTACCCTGCCACCGTAGCCCTCGTCGACATCGACGGTAAAGGACTCGGTGATGTCAAGACCGATGGCACCCTTACAAAAGCCAGTCTGGATGTTGACAAGGGCTGCGTCAGCAAGAATCACATGTATATTCGCTCGTGGGCCATCTACCCAACTCGGGATCCTCGCGTCTGGTATCAGGTAATGAGTAACCTCAACGCCCCAGCATTTTTCAAGGCCTACGATATCGACGGAGAAGCCCCTGTTGGCACCAGAGAAGAAGCGTATGAGCTGATCAAATCCACCATCTCCAAGTATTCAGCCGCCGAACTTGACATTAAAAACATGGAGAACGGATTTTGCGGGCAGACTTGCTTCACACCACAACACTGGGCAGAAACGTCGATGGGCAAGCGACTAGCTACGCATCCTTTGATCGACTACGCGCAGGTCAAGGGCACTTCGGCATTGCCACCCGTACCCTTTCCACAGACTGGTGATGCTCGCCCGTTGGCCGGCATCAAGGTTGTTGAACTAGCCCGCGTGATCGCTGGTCCAGCAATGGGAGCGGCTCTTGCAGCCCTGGGTGCGGACGTCATCAAAGTTCAAAGCCCCGACCTCCCCGATCTGCAGGTACGAGGCGCTCTACGCTCTATAATTACATCGATCTGACATTCACTAGCCTTTGAGTATCACGCTTACCGCCGGTAAACGTACATATGCGTTGGACCTTCAGAAGGAGGACGACAGGCAAGCCTTGACTGACCTTATGGCGGATGCGGATGTCATAATCCAAGCGTTCAGGCTACGCTCTCTCGAGCGGAAGGGCTTCGGGCTACAGGACTTGGTTGAGATGTCGAGGCAACGTAACAAAGGAATCGTCTACATTGATCTCAATACCTATGGTCCGGACGGCTACTACGCAGAACGCCCGGGATTCCAGCAGATTGCCGATGCCGCTTCTGGGTGCTCTTATGTCTGTGGCAAAGCTTATGGATTCGAGGACGGTGTCAGTGTCCTCCCTGCTCTTCCCGTTGCCGACATGCTAGCTGGCGCGGTCGGTGTCGTCAACGTTCTCCTTGCTCTACGTGATCGCGCAACTAAGGGCGGATCGTATCACGCCACCTCAGTCCTAACGTCGGTGGATGTGATACAACTGGGAGAGGCATTTGGATTGTATTCGCCGGATACAGTGAAGAGAATCCAGGACAAGTATGGTTTCAAACCCATGACACCAGACCTGCACGTGGAAGATCTTCTCTACATCCTTGGGGAGGCTTGGTCAAGCCATTCGGACCTTCTGCGCCGTGATGGATACATGGTCACTTTCAACGATACGGCGTATGGCAAGAAGCACTCAATATTATCTCCGATCGTTCGGTTTGACAACGATGATGTCAGTCCTCGATGGAGCCATGGACCTGTAGGATATTGTTCGTCAAAGTATGAGACTTGGGCATGATCATGCGTTGGCGATACCGCTCGTT